TCCCTACATAAATGCTTTTTTCATCCTCCATAAAACCCAAACAATTTTTTTTAATATAGTTAGGATGTTGAATATGGATTGAAATCAATACTAAAAGATGTATACTATTATCTTGCTGCATGGGGAAATTGGAGGAGCTAACCCGCATGCACCAAGGTAAGCCTATGCCTCTCAAGCTACAGAGCAAGAGAGATGGCAAAAAAATCAAGGAACGAAACCAATGCAAACTTAAAAGAAAAGGAAACACGATAACTAGGATGAGAAATTAAAATGAATAAACAGATCCAAACCAGCACTGACACATTAGAAAAAAAATGACGACTAAAATGTATACTTCCACAACATATTTTCTGTTAATGCATATGGAAATATGAATGTGTGCTTAACAGAAACTATGTAAACTTCAGATTACTTGGTGAATAGGGTACTACGTGTTAACTAAGGCAGAAGCTTGTGTATAGTAATGTTTTACTAAGCCAGAATACTGCAGTATGAGGAGATTTTCCTTTTAGCCATTGTAATAAGAACTTTAGGCAATTTTCTCAAATTCATTTAAATTCTAATATTTTGCCAGGGCAACAATAGCAGTTTCCTTGGACCAAATTTTCTGACAAACGTAAAGCAAGTACACAGAGAAAAGCCTAGGTAAAGACCACAACCCCATTAAGAAAGGCATCCTGCGGAATCATATTGCAGCATTTTCAAAGCAGAACGTTACTATGTCAATAACACACAAGTCATCAAAAAGAAAAAAAGGGAAGGGAAAAAAAGGGAAAAGAAGGTTTACCACCATATACCTGAATCTTCTAGGTAAAAGAGACAGTAAAGGGAAAAATACAGAGAAAGAATGCTCCAGGAAGGAAACAGGAAAACAAGAGGCTGAGACTGTGTTAAGGTTATAAAGCATTTCTATTTCTTACATGTACTGCCCACAGAACCTCAATAAGCAAGAGACATTCTTGTGTGCCTGCAATATACTCTACAGCAATACAGACAGTAAAAAAGGAGAGCTCACAGTAGCAAATTAAATACTTTGCAGCTCCTTATTCCACAAGGAATATTTCATCAAAGGCAGCCCTACTACAGACGTACAGATTTTTCGTAACAAGAAGCACTTGGTATAAAACTGAACTGACAATCTGTGTTGTCTTTGTGTACAAGGCAAACGCGGTGTTGGTAAGAACCTCCCTTCACTTGGGCTTCAAATCAGAGCGAAATTGTTCTCATGCTGTCACCTAGAATTGCTACGAGAGAAAATCTAATTCTAGAGCTATTTTCCATTGGTGATTCTCTATGAGGAAGAACAAATCAGATAGAATAAGAGTTTGAGTGTCATTATCTAAGCTGAACCTTCAGTACTCCGTGTATCAAAGGCTGCTCTTAAAAAAACCCCAAAAGATGCTGTAAACTGTGGAAAGAGCACACTTCACATGCAATGCTGATCTACCATTCTGAACAGTTG